TCGCGCACTTTTATCGAAAATGGTTGAGGATATAAACTGGAGACTTACTGGAGATGATAGATCATGATTTTGTGGTTTGCAGAATCGCCTTTTCGTGAGTCGTCAGCACTTCCGGTTTCTGCCGGAAGGATATCTAAAAAATGCAATTTTTCAATTTTTTTGTTTTTCAATATTTTTCTTTGTTGTTTTTATTCTAAATAGAGACTCATTTGCAAATGCGTAATATGTAACTTTTTTTAGAATCGAGAAAGGCAATCTCAAGATATTCGCATTTGAAAATTTGAAGCGGTGTTTTCAATGGCCGAATGGTTAGCGCGTTGGATTTTCACACGGGCGACCCGGGTTCGCTCCCCCGAATGTCCGACTTTTTTTATCGCTTTTTCTGCTAGATTTTATGTTTTTTATTTCAGAATCGGACGGAAGACCTCTCGTTGCTCGCAACGAGTTTCATATCTAGTTATTATTATTATTATTATTATTTTCTTACCGATTTTGTGCACGCGATTTCTCAGAAACGGCTGGACCGATTCTCATCAAATTTTCAGATCTGATAGATATTTATCTGAACCTTGTCGGAAATTTTTCGTAAGTACGTCGTCACTTCCGGTCGTGAGATATGGACGATTTACTGATTTTTAGAGGGTCAGCTTGTCCTGAGATCTCCTCCTAAACGACTTAAGTTATCGACTTGAGATTTTCAGTGAAGGTAGAGGAAGGATAGTAGATGTGACATTTTGCATATAGAGCTTTCCAGGTAAGAAGGCATCGACGCTCGCCTGGGATCGAAAAATAGCCTCATACTCATCTCGCAAAAATTGACACGTTTTCTTTTATATCTTTTTACCTGTTAATATTTTGTTAAGACATATATAATAAAAAATGTGCAATATAGTAAGACCTTTCATTTGATATCAAGTAAACGGGGTTAGTCCTTCAAATTAGGGGCATAGAGGGGCCAAAAGTCTCTCGTCTTTAACTTTTTTGTTTTTCAATATTTTCAAATGATATTAGTATAGTTGATAGAAACATTTCTTATTAGGCTGAATATATAATTCGTTTGTAAATTTATAAATTCAAACTCGAGATATTAACATTCAAAAATCTGAAGCGGGAACTAAATGGCGGCGGTCTCTGTCAATTCCGACATTTCGCAATAGCGGTTAACAGAGGCAGCCGAGCGTTTGCTTGAACAAAAGTAACATAAGGAGCAATGAAATGTGTAGGGATACTTGGATTGTCACGTCGTAGGTTCGTTGCAATTCTGTGTCAAACTACATTCATAATCCAAGGTCTCCTTACAAGTTTTCTTTAATTGGTTTTAATTGTTTCTTAAAGTAGAAAATAATTAATGTGCAAATTAAGTACGCATTGATGATATTATCTAAATCAAAAGGATTTAATCAAAATAGAAAAGGCATGATTCCATGATGTTTTATCAAAGATCATAGTCAAAGTCATATCTCATCTTATCGAAAATTCGGACGGAAGACCTACTCGTTGCTCGCAACGAGATCGCATCTAGTTATTTTACTTATCGTTCCATGGGATTCTAGCAGCACTTCCTAGGCAAAATACAAGTACATGTAGTTGTTTTTCAGCAATAATATTTACTCAGAGAAGTTATTAAACTCCGGGATACTGTTCGCTCTTTTATTAAGAACATTTTACAATTAATAGAAGTCACGTAAGGATGTGTTGGTGGTGCACGATTTTGAGTTAGAAATTGCTTACGGAATGCAGAATAGCTTGAAATCTGTGTACCTCAGGATTCGGTTCTTGGAACCCCGTTTTACTGTCTGTATTCAAAACCTATAGGAAATATATGCTCGTATATGAAAGTGCTATCAAATGCGGTATCACTGCTTTGGAGATGATACCCAAAAATTTCTAGTTATTGAGCCAAATGAAGACTTCAATAATGTGCTTTCTTCTCTCAGTGCTTCTCTCGCAGACATAAAAATCATGGATGTGCACCAATATTTAAAAGTTAACCTTGAAAAGACTAAATTGATGCTATTCTGTCCAAAACATAAAATAAAGGATGTTTCTACTGTCAATCATGCTTTTAGAGATAGCTTGATTAATGACTTTCCTTTTTTCCTTATATGAAGAGCCTTTGAGTCCTTTTCGACCAGCCTCTTAAGTATTTAGAAAAACTGCAGTTCAAAAGTCAGGACACGCATAAAAAATATCCGGAAAATCGGTCGCATCCGTCCGTACGTTACAGACGATGCATGTGAAACTTAGATTATTCACTTGTGACTTCCCTTCTCATGCAAACTCACTGATGTATGATCCAAATAAGCAACTTGTGAACAAACTACAGAAGTTTCAAATACTGCCGTACGGCTGATAATTCGTACCAGGAAATCTGATCGCGTGACCCCAAACTTGAAAGATCTCCACTGGCTCCCTGTCCAATACAGTATTCAGTATAAAATACTTGTTTATATACAATGCATTGAGCAATCATGCTCCAAGGTAATTGTCCGAGCTTCTCAAAATATACCTCCTTCCAGGTCCTTACGTTCTTTTTCTTTTTTATGTTCCTACAGTTAAAACAGTTACATACGGCAGACGTCAATTTGATTACGCGGTTGCCTCACTTTGGAACTCTCTTCCTCTGTGTCTGAAACATTCCAAATCTGTTTCCGCATTTAAAAAAGAAGGTCTCAAAACTCACCTCTTTCAAAAAGCTTACGAGGGAATGTAAATATTGCATTTTTTGTGATAAACCTAATGTACAAAGACACTGAACTTATCTAAAGGTCTTTTGTGATTCTAATTGTTTGCTCTACTGATAAAATACAGGTTCATTTGATTGTTTTTCAATGTTTAAATTGTTGTAAATTTTTAAAGTGGCTCCCACGCAACATACACTATATAAGTAATATGTTATGGTTTTATAGTTCACATAAAGTCTTTTAAATGTCCTATTTTTATGTACAAATATATACAATGTATTTCTTTAAGTAATTTGTTCTCCACTTTGCATGCTTATATATATATATTTTAATGTGAAAGGCACTAGAATGTCTTTATTATAATGCACCATAGAAATTATTGTATTAATGTTGTATTGTATTGTTGTATTAGACATTCTTTTATCTTTATGCAATAGTTAATAATAGTTTACCTTCTTTCAGCGAATTTGGTAAATTATTAAACTCAATTTTCTTTAAAAAATCTAAATATCCTGATAAAGTGAGTTGTTAAATTCTTTAACATACCTGCGAATTAAATGACGAGGCTACATGCCACGCCTACGTCATCCACAAAAGAAAGCTTACAGAAGATTTTGAGGTACGACAAGACTCTCTTCTGCTACCAATGCTTTTTCTAGTGGTACCTGTAGTGGACTGGATCATGCGGGAAACAACTAGAGATGGCAAGACAGGAGTCCACCAGACTTTCACTCACTGTTTGGACTTTACTGACCACCTCTGCCTTATGTAACAGAAGTGCAATTCAAGACAGGTATGCAAAAGATTTAGTAAAGACAGATCTGCTGGTCAACATTGACAAGGCATAGGTAATGCGACTCCACAACAAACAGCACACACTAAGTACGCTTTGAGAGCATAGCATAGGAAGCATCGTCACAGTCTTTTGTGGAACAGATGAAGACATAAAACAAGAAATAACAAGGCGTCTCTATCAACCTCAAGCCTGTGTGGAGTTTAACAGCATTGTCCACACGCATAAAATGTCTTACCAATGTAAAGTCTGTGTTCCTCTTTGAGTTTGAAACATTGAGAGTTGCCAACACCACCTCCAACGTACTACAAACCTTTGCAAACAGATGTTTGCGTCATATACTAAACATCAAATGACCAGAAAATATAAACAAGATCCGAGTCCTAAAACAAAGTCTGCTTACACTGAGATATAATTCTAGTGTATTGCATGTACTCAACGAGAGTTTATGAACTGCATTTCCAAAATCACAAGCAAACATGCATACAAGGACAAAAATGGAAGTAAAATGTAAAACCCTGAAGCGTATTAAAAAATTAAAATGATCTTTGTATATTTTTCTTAGAGTTCTATTCAAATATTGAACTCAATTTACACGAAATGAAAGTTACATACCTGTGATCCTGTTAAGACAACCGATTTTATGAGGTTTGTAAATATAAAGGATAATGCAGATGCAGTATATGCCATTGTATCTGTTCCATGCAGAACAACAAATCCATCAAAACGCTGGTAATTTTCCTATATATAATAAATAATGAATTAATATTGCAGAATGGTATCATATAAGAACATAAAAAAATCCAAGAACCATTTACCCTTAAGAAGAATTCATATTTAAATTGATGTTTAAAGAAGGATTTTTATTGGCAATTAAGAAATTTGAGAAATGCGTGAAGCAATATATGAAAATGATAAGCACACACAACAAAGTACTTAATCATAATTAGATACAAAAGTATAGTACCTGTAACGTTCTTACAATGTACAAATGATAAATGATTGAGTTCGCTTAGGTTTCCTTCCTAAGAATCACGTTTCTAATATAAAATCAACACAAACTTCATTAACAATGACAAACAAACACAAGCTAAAGTCACCAAGACACCATAGCTATTAACAGGACACGACTTTTGGTTAGACACAAGTTAAAGTCACCGAGACACCATAGCTAGTCACAAAGACACTAGGGAACTGGGTCCCTGGGCTGAGTGGTCTAACTAACAATTCTGTTGTTTCCCGACACAGCCCAGGTACCCTTCCCAAGTCACCTAACTCCGACAAAGAGTTACACCAAAAGTAACTGAAACAAGATTGATCCTTATATTTATACTATTTCTCCTATGCCTAATTGCTACTCATTGGTCAATAAATTCTAATGATTTGGTTGGCTGAAATATCAACTCTGATTGGCTACACATAATATGATTTGATTGGGTGATTTAAAAACCTATTTCAATCCACTTAACTAATTCTGATTCATTACAGTACCTCATAAAATAATAAAATTTCAACCGAAAATTCCACCTCAAGCTAAATTTCAATAACATGTTGGAACATTTTATCATTGAAGATGACATTTGAACGATAATGGAAAAAAAAGAATACTTGGAACATTTCAGAAAACTTAAAAAATGATTTTTTCGCAAACAAAAAAAGGATAGATCAACAATGGTCAGTAAACCACGATCGAAAATGTTTGATTCCGTTTTCACCATATTTGTAATGTCTCGTTTTCCTAAACTGTTTTTCCTATGCAGCTGTAAGGCAAACTTCGTATAGGCCTATTAAAAATGGAGGACTCCAAAGTGCGATGGGACTCCAAAGTCCGATGGTTACGCCAAAGTCCTATGATATGCGCCAAGCCCCAATCGTTTGACATGCCGAAGTCCGATAGAGCGGAAAACAATTCATGTTTATGACGTCATAATGCTACTGAATCCAATACTGCAAAACCGCGCCTTGCCAAAGTCTTATGAATAAATTTCTTATGCAAAAACTAATTAAGCTAAATCTCCTAGATACGTCCGAATATAACCCTAGTTGGTCCAAAGGTGTGTAACAATTATAACCCATATATTTTGGGTTGGATCGAGACTAACCCTTGTCACTAGGCTTGTGTGCGAGGACTAACACTAAATCTATCGGGTTGGTGAGAATCAAGGACTAACTGTTCTCAGTCGAGGCGTGTACGAGGACTCATCCTGATATCACTGGAAGGTGCAAGCACTACACAAAATCAATAAAATTTTGTTTGAGGACAATTCAGGGTTTCAATCATGGCGTCATCAACTTGGATTGGTTCTCTGCACCATCGGACTTTGGCATGTCAGACCATTGCCCTTTAGCGTAGCGGGTCTCATAGATAACAAGCCATCGGACTTTAACCTGAGCATCGGATTTCGGCGTCCGTACCGACAATCAACCAACGGGGTTTGGCGCAGACCATCGGGGTTTGGCGAAACCATCGGATTTTGGTTTCACCATCGGCCTTTGGTATCTTATGAAATAATGTAATAGTAACTTGATTTAAAACCATATGACGCCACATTGGTCAATAGTTTTTTAACGGTTGATTTTAATAGTTCCAGTTCAATAGCGGCTAAAACGGTAAAAATGGAACCTTTTTCGCATAGAATAGCGTAAGAATTGTAAGTCAGGGATATAACAATGCACATTCTAGAACAAATTGAGTATTATGACAGCATAATAGAAACATCTTTTTTGATTAATTTGATATTATTGCAAAATAATTTGCTTCCTATTTCTTTTTTATTTATAAACATTACTTACTTTGATGTCGTTTGCAATTTTCATCCAGTCCTTATACGCCATATTGCTTGAGTCCATTAGGGGATCATAACACAAAATCCATATGCTCAGTATAATTTTTTCTTCTGTAAGAGGCCTTACAATGAAAAAAAGAAAATCCACTAAACATTGTGAAAAGAAAATAATCTTATTTAGGTGGAACAAACTTTCCTCTCCTAAGATCCATGAAAGCAAATTTGGAATAGTCTGATTTAATGAAAGGCATTGTAAGAGTGTATATACTAAGGAACCTTAAAAAGAAGGGAAAAGTACAATTTACCATTTCATTAATAAAGAGGCACCGTTTTCTACACGATTCTCTACATCAGGAACATTCAGGTATTGCCATCGTTTCCATAAAAAATCTTTGAATTCTTGGGCAGCTGCTGGGGCCAATCCTGTAGATAAAAACGCGGCTAGGATAAGGCTGTCCTTAAAGTACCAACGTGTGTCAACTATTGTTTCTTCTCTGAACTACCTAGATATGACGCCATAATAACATATGACGTAAATCACTACATACTTAAGGGGGCCAACTATAGTTTCCATTGCACAATATTTCGCGCATCATAGTAAAATGAAGCGTATTTATTGTTTTAATGCAACTTTTTCGCTTAATTATTAAAATTAAACAAAATTAAGAAATTATAGGTATAAAAATGTAATTATAATTATAATTAACATTTATTATTATAATTTGATATAACTGATTATTTAACCGATTTTGCAATTGATAGGTAGGTTGACATCGCTGCAATGTTTTTATGACGTTATGGTAATCTGAAGCTCTTAAAGGAAGGGGTAATAAAAACATTATTACAGAAAAAGTAATAAACATACGCTTTTGAAACTTGAAACATATTTTTATTATGTTTTCTTCAGAATCCATTGTTACCGTCATAGTTTGTAGGACTTTATAAGAGTAGTACAATTTGCTATTTTTTGCATTTTGAGATGACCCCTCTCTTAACGAGACGGTAGAATTTTGTGTTTCTTACATATATTGTATCATATAGTATTACTCATAAAATAATATAGTTTGAACAAAATGCCTATTGTAGTATTTGTATAATTTGCTTTAAAGTGCTAAAAAATTGGCATTTTCTTATATAATCCTACAGTAAATGTACCTGTATTTTGAGACGGTCCTTCAAAAATACCTGGACGGTAGATTTCCCCCAAACTTTGCATGTACATTGAAGTTTTTTTTTTAATTTTATTTTAACTTTCACATTTATATCAAACAAGTATATACAAAAGTATGTTCATAAATATATCTTCCTTCAAGTACTGTAAACCAACTTTTGATCGCGAGCGAGAAATTTTCGCGATGTTCGCGAGTGCCTCCTCATCGCGAATATTTCTCGCTGCGAACCGGTCCTTAAAATGTATTTGTCTATAAAACTACGGATCCAAAAGGCTTGATCGCGAAAATTAATCGTCGCGAACTAGTTTATCGCGGAATAAAGTCGTCGCGAATAATATTTGGTTTACAGTATCTATTATAGATAGCGTATACAAGTATTAGATTTACAAAAGGACATCCACATATACAAGCTCACATTTAATTAAACACATGTGAAAGTTGTTTTAATATAAGATAGAAAAAGGAGGAGAAGAAGAAAGAGAGAGGGAGAGAGAAAAGAACATTAAAAAGAGAAAATCAAAAACAAAAAATATTGGGGCATAGTGTTGTTTTTTTCCTTTACACTAAGGGGAGTGTAAAGATTAAGATTTGTTTCTTGAAAAAATTTATAAATACATATGTATAAGTAGACTTGTACAAATGAATCATATCATATCACAAATGCTCTGCCAGTTATTCTCATACTCTGTATATTTACATTGTTTCAAAAGTAAAAATTTCTCAATCAAGAATCTTTCCACAATAATTGTTTTTAAAGTCATTATACTTAGAACAGAAGGATTTTTATATTGAGTCGAAAATATATAATTCTTAGTTATCAGTGTCATCAAATTTAGCACTTTATGGACATCCTTATTCTTATGTTAGCCAAATAATATTGTTGTTCTGTCAAAAATTACAGATATATTAAACGTACACAAAAACCACTCTTCAATATCACACCAAAGCTCTTTTACTAAATTACATTCAACAAAAAGATGTTCAATTGACTCAATGTCAGTCTTACAGAAACTTCATGCTGGAGATTCTTTTATCTTAAGTTTAATAAGATATAAATTTGTTGGAACTATTCTATGTAAAATTTGAAATTGTAGCAAATTTACACTGAAGTTAATGTAAGTTACATATGGAATAAAAATGAAGAGTTTCACTATTGTAGTTTTCACACAATAAAACTAAAGTCGGTCCCCTTTAGCTGCCTTGACGGGGAAGATGTTATAATTTTTAAGTGTCGGGATTATTTTGAAGCTCCAGTGTGCGGTTATGATGTTTAACATTTGTGATATATATATATATACTGGTGTCTCATTATATCACGGTAATTAATCCTTTTGCATAAAAAATGTTATTCCAATTTTTTACTTTTAACTTTCATAAAAGAATAATCATAAACCAATCTATGGACAAACTTTTTAGTGTAAAATTATTTCCCAAGCTTGCATCGTTTAAGTTATTGTCTATTTTTAAAACAGGAAGTCTTATTTACCTCCAAAATTGGAGAGTCTCATTGTATCGCGGTATGGGAAAACATGGAAACTTGTAGATGACATGGACTTCAATTTTTATTTTTGAATTTACTATGTAATTCTACAGCAAAAGTAAATAAATATAAAAACTTAAGACATTTAAAAGATGACCTATAGAATAATTTTTACAAGGTTACAGATTTAATGGTTAAAAATAATAAAACGTGACTGGAAATCTGAAAAATTACGTTTTTGTTAATTTTTTTTTCAAACAGATGTTCCATACTTCTTAATCATCAAAAAAGTAAACATTCGGACGTTTTAAACATAATGTCCATCAATAAAAAGAATAAAGGCTACGTATTCAAATTTTTGCTACATACCTCGATACAATTAATTTTTTTTTCGCCTGTCCGATTTGCGCTTCTGCGCATATTAAACAAAACAATAATTATATATAAAACATTCCCCTTTTACGGCTGTAGACAGAGCTAGAATTTATGAATAGTGCATATGGTTGATATGCACATGTGATTAACAAGGATAATTAAATTGAATTAAGGATAATTGAATTGAAGATTTTCTGTGTGCATCTACAAGAGCAGTATTTCCTCTAATTGAATTTTCTGGTTTATTTGGTGTAATTTATCCTCTTTTGTATTAATTCCGATGTAAAATTCAGGCTAGCCCCAGCACTTTATATATATATGTGCCCGTTCACAGTGAATTGACTTACTTGTATTTACTAAAATAATGATTTTATTTTACACTGGTGCTGATGCAATTTTTCCAACATTCAGGAAATCATATTAAGTGTCCTTCACGTGATCACCAAAGTCATAGTGACATCACAAAAATGGTTTACTATAATACCTGATAAAACTCTCATCACAAATTAATTTCTAATTCATACATAGATTACATATTTTAAAAAAATGCTTCGAATAAAATGTATATTTTCAAGAATGATACAGTGGAGTTGCCAATTCCTGATTGTCTTCTATTTCGGGTCATTCGTGTGTATTTTATGCCAAATTGTTAAAATGTAAGCGCAGAAAATGTAATGAATATGCTGGCCATGAAGAATTGGTCTTTCTGTCTATAATTAATCACAAAATTTTGAACATCAACGATAAGAGAGCATCCGACAATCGAAATTCTGAAACGCACGCACAGAAGTCAGATATGTTTCTGCTTCGGTGACGAGCGACTTTCGTTTTCGTTCACAGCAGCAAGACTGATAAATAATAAGAGCTCGAAGGTATGACAAATGCATTTAGTTTTAACTCAGAAATCAATCATAACGATAGCTGCCCAAATAAAATTATAAAGATTAATGAATTAAACTAGTACTGTACTAGTTCCTCCAATTACGGTTCAGGAAATCTCGTGGTTAGAAACATGTCAAAAACTCAATGTACAAAACCAAGCGACAACCGTGTATTTACCCTGATGATGAAAAGAATTCTATCTAGAAAATATTTTCCTAAAAAAATTAAAGTGAGTTTACCCTTCAAGTGCATTTTTATATAGAGAATAATACATAACCTTTTCCATATAACATCCTTCATCAGCCCGAGACACCAATATCAGCCAGAGGGCCGAAGGTCCGAGGGCTGATACAGGATGTGATGTGGATAAGTGTATGTATTAATATGTTTATTACATTCTTAGTAAAAAAAAAATACTGCATGCATTAAGTTGAGAAGAAAAGTAAATAACCATGCATGGACTTATTACATACATGTACATGATCTATTGTCTCATACGATTTGGGTTTGTTTCTACATCTATTTCAATGCACTCGATCCGTAATTCGAAAATATTACATGTAATTTGTAAATTAAGATTAACCTTATTATATTTACATTCCCAATGTCTATGTCAGAGATAAAATTACCAAATGTAAATGTACTTTATTTCCCCATCAATGTATTGGCGCAGTTCCAAAAAAAACACGTGCAGGGCGGGCCAACAGCTAGACAGAAGCAGGGCTTGGAGCACGTGGATTGGTGGAATCAAAACATGTATATGTAAGGAATAACTGTCAGATTTTTCAAGTTCATGAAGATGATCAATCGATTGGCTTGCGTGATAATTTTATGCATAATAGCCGAAGGCGTTTATGCAAATTATCACGCAAGCCAATCGATTGATAACTTCATGAAATCGAAAAATAAGACAGTTATTCCTTAATTCAAAAAGTTAAAATTAAGAGAATATTAACCAACCAAAAATTGTTTTTGATCACAAGTACTGTTTTTGTTATTTAATTTACTAAGGGTGTGATACTGGCGTTGCAATAGCCGTATCAGCCCTGCAGGGCTGATATGGGTTTGCAGGACTGATATAGGTTCTCAGCCCTGCAAATCCATATCAGCCCTGCAGGGCTTATATGGCTATTGTGAAGTCAGTCATATTGCATATGCAAAAAAATTGTATTTATTACTAAGTATGTAATAAAAATAAATTAAACTGTCTTATTTTAATCCTTTTATAAATTTTATTAATTCTGCATATTGCAATTTGTTTTTGTTTTTTTTTTTGTATTGTTTTAAAAATAATTTAAACATATTTCTGTGGTTGTTTATTTTTTTCAAACCTGCATGAACTCATTTATGATTCAACATCATAAAAATCGTGTTCCGAAACGACCCATGAATATTACAAAACCGTGAACTCACATTACCCGGAAAAGGAGAAAATGACTCGTGGCTGGGGAAGCTAGGCCTTGCTGAAATTTCCATGTAAATATTGATCCCGTGTAGCTATCTTATACATTCTTTAGTTTTCTGTAATAACGTTTTCTCAAAGGCACCTGCTTGGGCCAGTATTTTCAAAGATATTATTTTTCATTTTTTAGGTTAATGTGTCATATGAGACTTTATAATTATTTCCCTTTATGTCAATAATATCTGCTGCGGTTGGTATTGCTAGGGCCAGTGTTGCATGGAAAATATTTCATTAGCTTTCATCCAAAAGAAATTATGTACTGTGATGTGTAAGATGTTTTCGGACTTTAATGTAAAATACTTATTTACCCTTAAAGTGATTACTTTACAGCTGCTTATATTTCGAAGTAGATGTTTATATATATTTAAATGTACTATCTTTCTTAACATACAGATGTTTCTTAAATAAACTATATGTTAAATATACTGGTACAATAATGTTTTATGGACAGCCTTATACTAATCACGTAGTGATTAATATAAATTCCAATCGCCCACTTTATCATTCTGTTATGTCCGCATATTGTTTACTTGATTCTTTAATTTCATTTAGATTCTAAAATTATAAATTGAAGGAGGAATTTTTTATTACGGATGTAAAGGAGCCTGTTTAAGTAATTATATATACATCGCATGATGTGTTTATTTTATATTGATAAATTGTAAACCTGAGATTTTTAGGGTTATATCATTTTACCTAAAGAATAATTTGCGTATTGTGTGTGATCCTTCAAAAGATTTTTTCTGTTACATGTAAGAAAGGGGGAAATTGGTATTTTTCCCAATGCATTTTTTAAAAGGCGATTTAGATCTACAAAATAAAATTTGACACTGAGTGTTATACTATCCTCTGGTATTTTCATAACAAAATTATGTTTAAACATTTACATTGGTCCTTTTAATTACAAAAAGTATCAAGGTAAAATCATATGTACGAATACCTCTATAAAATTGATCTAGTGTAAAAAGAGGAAATATTTTCTTAATTCTGTTTTCATATTTTATACTATGATAACAAACAGGAATTTGATTTTTATGCGCCCAGATCGATAAATCCGAGGCGTATATTGTTTTTGTCCTGTCTGTGTGTTTGTTTGTCTGTTTGTTTGTTTGTTTCCAAACTTTAACCTTCGCCATAACTTTTGAACCATGAAATTTAAAAAAAATCATATTTGATATGCATATTTCACTAATGAGGTGCTTTCAAATGACACCAATACCAATAACCTTGTGACCTTGAATGTGACCTTTATGATAAAAATAGCTTTTCTGTCTGCAAACTTTAACCTTCGCCATAACTTTTTAACCATTAAAGATAGATACTTAATATTTAGTATGCATACTATACTAATAAAGTTCTTTTTTGTAACTTTAACCATAACTTTTGAACCATAAAAGATAGAGACTTCATATTTGGTATTCATACTCCAATCATCAAGTTCTTTTAAAAAACACCAAGGTTAATTACCTTTTGACCTTTTCTGTTATCTATGCTAGCATGCTAAAAATAGCTTTTTAGATTTTTGTTGCCGCCGGGCGCATAGTGTTTCACAAACACATCCTGTTTTTTCTTAAAACATTAGATGAAAAGAAAAATCATGATAAGTAAGTCGTTCTCTTTTCATCGCTTAATTAGCAAAACATTGCAATTGGTTGCATTAAAATAAATACATTTACCCTTTTTCAAAACTTGTCCATTACGTAGATAACTGGTATGCATTATAAAACTTGGGGGAAGTCTGTTTTTATTTGGTGGTTTCTTATCATTTTTATTATTTTGCTAAAAAAGCGGGAAAATTTCGTTTATCTGTTTATTCTTAGAAAACGGATGCATTTATTAATATGTATCGCATTATGTCAATACATAAACTGATATGATTTGCTTCAGAACTTGCTTCTCCTTTCCAAAAGAAAGTTGTGTCAACATTATAAAATGGCAAATTAAACCATAAGAAATACAAAAGATTAAATTTTCTCCAAAGCATTTCTTGAGTAAATGTTTACAATTTTTTTATCTCCTAATTGCTTATGAATATATTTACTTGCTGATTAACATGTACAGGTTCAATTCAACAAAATTTGTACTTCATTTTTAATGAAAAAAATTATTTTCTAAAAACTTTTGCATAAGGTTTTATGAAATCTTACTATTTTTTTATTAATAATTTTACCTGCATATAATCAAATACAAAACAAAATTTACCCTTTTTCCCCATATTTTTCATCCCAATTGTTCCACCGGTGTATAAAACTAAAACTGACTTTGCTTCCAACTCTTGTGCCATCTCCTGTATTATTGAACGTGATTATGAAATTTCACAAGTTGAAAGAAACTATCTAAGCAAATGGCATGACGACGTCTTTAAATACTGTAAGGCCTAGCCCACATATTGAATGTACACCAAATATGGAAATGTTTATTTTTTTATTTATATCCAGGATGTGGTGACTTTTAGTTTATCTTCTTTCTAATAAAAATGTACATGTATCACATTCCATCTCTACATTTGTTATAGTTTTATTCTATACCTAATTTAAAATGGATGTATAATATATATTACAGTATATTATACAATTATTGCTGTTTTTTGATGTCAATACAATGATTTAGCCATATGAGGAGTACAATATTTACCGAGCCCGGAGGGCGAGGTGAATATTGTACTTCGAAGATGCCTAAATCATTGTATTGACCGAAATAACAGCAACAATTGTTTTTTTTATAAGATTCACTGATAAAATGATACAACTAATTACTTGTTTGAATTTAATTAAGTCCTAGCCAAATACAAGAGAGAAGCAGAATTAAAATGTAAATAAACCTTACCAGTTGTATTAATTTGAAATGTTTTTTTTTTATCAATTTTAATTGCCATGAAAAAAATATATAATGTCAATCTTTTTATAGCATAGATTTTGAAAGGAAGGAGTATTATCAGGAAAACCGACTGCCAA